GCTTTTAATATTACAAAGAAATGACAGCTATTCTATTTAACATCTATAGTAGTTGCTTCTTTTATGCAGTCGAGAAAGCTGGATATAATGATGATGATGATGATGATGATGATGATGATGATGGTGGTGGTGGTGGTGGTGGTGGTGACACTGCAATGGTGACTGATGATTTAACATGGTCTGAAGGCCTATTATGTGCCTGAATCTCAGTGTCATTTTATATTTGAATACAATTCATTCTATAGCTGAATGAACCAACCTGACCTCCTACTTCTAAGTAGAAAATCAAATACACAATAAACTTGGTCCAGATAATGGGCTTCCAGGTCTCCGATAATGATTATTTCAAAATCTCACCTTATGTGACCTGTGTTCCACCAGAGTCCACAGATTATTCCTGCAACACCAACCTTTGATGATGACAATGATGATAGCGAAGGTGACAGCAATGGAGAAGTGCAGAAGGAAATTTTTGTTTCATCTAAGAATCTTATGGCTGAGACACTATAAATGTTTTATTTTCTAAGAAAATAGACATCTTTCAAGAAAGAAGAAAATTTATTTATACAAACAATATATAAGATCCTAGGCCAAGGGAGAGGAGCCTACCTTGGTAGCTGGATTTATTTGGCTCCAAGGCTATCCATATACTTAAATCACTTTACATTTATTTTCTTGTTACAATTTTATTTTATTTTATTTTTTAACCAATAAATAACTTATGTTTTAATGATAAAACTAATTTGAAGAACAATTGCAATGCTTTTATAATGGTATTTTTTTTTAATTACTGCCAAGTGTGTTCTCTCCCTCCGTCACATGGGTCCCAGGAATTGATCAAACTCAGGATTTCAGTCTTAACAGCAAATACTTTTACTTGCTGAGTCATCTCAGGGAGCCCTAATTTGAATTTCTAAACCAAGGAATTTGAATTGTATTTTTACCTCAGCCCCTAGTCAATCGTTTAAGATGCCATATGGAGATTGACTCTGAGGTTAAGAGAGCTTAGTATTCTTGCAGAGTTCTGTTCCCACAACCCATATCAGGGAGCTCTCAACTAACTTTAACTCCAGTTCTGGGGGACTCTTGCCTCCAGTGGCACCCACACACATACACAGGAAAACAGACACATAATTAAAAAAATAATAATAAATCTTTAAAAAAGGTGATAGCTGGGTGTGGTGGTGCACACCTTTAATTGTGGATCTCTGTGAGTTCAAGGCCAGCCTGGTCTACACAGTGAGTTTCAGGACAGCTGGGGCTACAGGGAGACCCTGTGTCAAAAAGACCAAAAAAAAAAAGGTGATAGAAACATTTCTTCTAGGACAGATATGAAGATTATGACATAATTCTATTGCTTCCACCAGCACTAATGCCTTTAAAAGTACCTTTAGATAAGTTTTTTTTTGAAAGATTTCATTTTTAATTATTACCACAGGAATACCTGATGTGGGTGCTGGGAACCAAACTCCAGTCCTCTGGAAGAACAGTAGGTACTCTTAGCCACTGAGCTTTCTCTCCAAGCCTTTAAAAAGCATCTTAACATCAATTCAGTCTGACAACCTTTGGTCTTCAGCACAAGGACTGAGTCTGCAGTGCATGAGGTTGTTCAAACTAGAAGTGACACCTTTTATTCCCAAGATATAGGAGCAGAGGCCTTTGTAAGCTCCATTTACCTGGAGTCTCCTGTACTTCAGGGCCTGGGTTGACTCAGACATGAGATGCTTGCACTTGGCAGACAGCAAACTCATCAAGAACCACCAAAATAGGCCAGAGCATATCTCGGGCCATTTTGGTTATCTGGGCAAGGTGGCTGGGACAGGGGTGGACAAGGTCTGCTGGCTAACCTTATTTTTGCCAGTTAGTCTAGTGGCTACTTCATTGGACTCTGAAGGAGGAGTCAGCTTCTTCTGCTTCAACACCAAGTGGCCTGGTCAGACCCAGTGAGAAAACTGCTTGCTCAAAGGCTATACTAACCAGTATTTCCAATGAGGAAAATTTAGGACTTTATCTTGTCCCCTGCAAAGTAATTTCCAAAAGAGAATATTAATAGAGGGAAAGAACATGCTCTGGCCTGTGATAAGAACAGCCTTTCTCCTAGTAAGTCTAACAAGCTCATCCTTCATCCGTCAGCCCTGGAGGTACTGGTGCCTGACACAAGCTGGAGAACAACTAAAGGGCAGGCTCAATCCACAGATGGGTGCTCCCTGCCTGAGTACCCAGGGGACAGATTTAGCATTTCTAAAGAAACTGTTACTGTGAACCTAGCCTTCAGAAACTCACCTCAACTCAATCAGCATCCTGTTGGTTGCAACCCCGAAAAATCATTTATATTTGCAATTTTTTTTCTAATATGTTTGTTGCAAGAGGGGAATGCATACCTCAGCATATTGTTTAACGAGGAAAATTCCGTCTTATATCCTGTCACTTGGCTTTTTATTATGTATTAATTTATTATAGGAATCTTTTATGTTTTATGTATAGAACTGTTAACATTTTCTTTTAAAATTTATACTTATATTTGTTTAGCCCTTTTAATTGCTAAATTTCTGTAACCACACATATTTTGTTGTTTATTTTGTGGTCTTAATTTATATTGGAAAGCACATTGGGCATACAGGCTGTCCTCATGCTTCAATACTAATCATCTGGGGTGGCGGGGTTCATTAGTATAGCTATAAATCGTATTTACAGCCCATATTCAGAGTGCGTATCAAGTGGGTTACATATGCGTCTCAGAAGTCACCATTCTCAAGATGCTCCATGGAAGACTGTTATGGAGACAATGATCCAAGACTCAGTCTGCAATTCATTCTCTCTCCTTTATCCTTGGCAATTACTTATTATAAGTCTGGAGAAATAAAAAGACTTGTAGAAGATTTAGTGACACAATTTTGAAACACAGTGACTCTCCCTTGAGGAGAACACACCCACACTTGTGTTTCATTCTTTTCACTGAATAATTCTCTTAACTTCTGTCCTTACAATGTGCTTTATAAAAATCTTTAAAGAATCACCAACTCTACTTCAAAAACATGAATTTTGAAAAATCTACTAACTATTTAGTAATAATCTGACTCATTGACAATAACCATCCAACACCAGTGAAATGGGTTGATAAAAACCTATTTATTGAGAGCCCGGCAAGATGGCTCAGTGGATAAAGGCACTTGGCACCACGACTGGCAACCTGAGATTAATTTCCAGGACCCACAGAAGGAAAAGAGAAAACGGACTTGCACAAGTTATCCTCTGACTCATGGCACATGCATCTCACTCCATATATACAAATAAATGCAATGAAAAGTTCAGGAAAAAGTGACACGGAATAGGATGTTCTCTAAGGGAAACAGTAGATTAAGGAATTGAGCATGTCTAGTCTTTTAAATAGCATCCAAATATATCATTACTAATCATGTCTAATTAAGGAGAGCAGATCTACTTTTTATATCCTTTTTTATTATCTGAATTTTCTGTGTTGACCTAAAATCAAATAAATTCATTAGTAAAAATAAAAATATATTAATATTAAAAGAATTAAAATATGATTTATCAGTTAGATACCCAGAAGTATGTGGGGATATCAGAATAAAAAGGCAGCCTTTGTTCTACCTACCTTTTATATAATAGTCATTCTATTTTGAGTACATTTAACATGTTCATAGTGCTTTTGAAAGTTTCGGTTTTTTTCCACATTTCAGCAAATTGTAGAATAGAGGGGAGGGCGATGTTCCTTAAATACACACACATACACATCTTAGCTTTACAAAGCACTGAAACACTAAGGGCTGCTGCTCTTCAGAGGGATTTTCTTACAAAGTGAAGACAAAACTCTTACTTTTTGTTAGGAGAAGTTCCTCGGTGAGCTGAGGGTATAGTTCAGTCAGTAGAGTGCTTGCAAAAACCACTGGGTTTGATCCCTAGTGCCTCATAACCAGTAACGCTGATACAAACCTCCAGTTCTAGCACTTAGAAGGTGGAGACTAGAGGATCAAAAGTTCAAGACCACCTAAGCTACAACAGTAAGCTGGTGGCCAGCTTGGGATACATGGAGACCCTGTGTAAAAAAATAAGCAATAATTCTGACTATCACATATCTTGCATATCTTTCATTCAAACTGGTACTTTGCTCTATTCTCAAATAAGCTTATCAGATCATGTTGGAAAAACTAACAATAAGGAGCCCTACCACTAAAAACAGAGGGATTATGTTTGTTAAATACCCTGCAATATATACTCATACAGCAGTTTCATTTAAAAAAAACTGTGTTTATTGCGCACATGTGCATCATATGTGTGCAGGAAGAAGAGGGCATCAGATACCCTGAAACTGGAGCTGCAGGGGGTTGGGAGCCACCATGAGTACTGAGAACTCCAAGAACAGGGAGGACTCTTAATCACCGAGCCATCTCCCCAGTCCAGCATAGAGCAGTTTTAGTTATGTGTGACTATGAAGCAGAGGCTTGCAATATTGGTAAAGCAGGACATGCTAGCTCATGCCTGTAATCACAACACTTCAGCAGCAAGACTTCCCTGAGTTCCAAGCCAGCCTAGTCTACACAGTAATTTCCAGGCTAGCCTGGGCTAGAGAATAAGACCCTGCCTCAACCCAAAGAAAAAAGCTGGGTAAAGTGGCACCACCTGTACTCAAACACTGGGGGAGGGAGTGACAACAGTGGGAGTTCAATCCACTGGAGACCCCAGGAAATTCAATGGGATTTGGATATCTAAGACCCCCAGTGCATCAGCAGTGGTGGGAACCAGCAGCGAGCACAGAATCCAGCAGAAGCATCCCTAGCTGGCAGGCATGGAAGGTTCCAGGGAAGAAAAGGATATTATTACTCAGTAGTAAATGGAAGCCCCCACCTCTGCTTCCTGGACTTGTTCCTGAACACAGGTTGAGTCAGGTCCTGTCCTCCCTTAAATAACTGATCGTATATTATGTTCCACAAAGCAGGTAAATATTTTCCCCATGAAAAGACCAAGTCTTAAGCAAGAACAACTGTAATGATTGCCAGTTTTATTCCTCTGGAGAAAAGATCCAGAGGTAATTCCAGGTTTACATTTCTCTTTTATAGATCTTTCATCAAGCGTTTAGTGCCTTTATTGCCCCTACAAGCTAGTTACAAATTAATTTTAATTAGCTCTTATTTATTAAAAAATCCGCAGTTCTTTATGAGACACGTGTTCATTAAAAAATACACATAAGCAAAAAGGCAAAATAAAAGCACACCACACAAAAATAAGCACTGTTAAGTTTTTAAGATGCACATGAGCCCCCGTATGCATGTGCACACACACGTGTGCACACACACACACACACAGGAATTTCTTCCTACATATGTGAGCTGATACTAAATATGCTGCTTTGCAATTTGCTATGTTTTATTGTGTAATAGGGAATGAACATATTTCCATGCATAAGTGTGAAATTTTCCAACTGAAAAACAAACGTGGAAAATGGGTCAAAATCCAAAATCCAATGAGATGCTGGTAACAATGAAACTACCTAAAACAAAACATCGCCAGGTAATTAAAAGTGAAATAAAGGTCAAAGATACATCAGAAAATGCTAACAGAAAGAAAGCAGCAGCCAGATTTCAATATCAGAGGAAAAAACCAAAAAGGTTTCAAGGCCTAAAGCACACAGGGTAAGGACGGCTGCGCGAATGTCTTTGCTTCCAATGCATCATCACAAACTTGTTTCTTACTCTTCTTATCTCTTCCCTAAGCCTTTCCAACTCATCTACTCCTCTTATCACTTCTTCAGGGTTCAAATGCCTGATGGGAGTGTCCTCTTTCAGCTCCTGGACAGGTTGAGCAGGCCCTGCTCTAAGGCTTCTTCCTTCGGCTTCCTCCCTTACACTCTCTCCTGCAGCTTGAGGCTCTCCCGCCTGCTGTGGAGTATCTTCAGAAGAAGAATGGCCTTCATCAGCCTTTGGTGTGTTCTGAGGTTTTCCTTCATTTTCTTCACAGGAGTTTTGCATGTTGAGCGTTTTTTATTTCTTTTTTGAATGAATTATTCCTAGAAAACAAGGAAATAAAATCGACTACGTGCCAGGCGAATGGACAAGCTCTTATGTACCCAAAGCGACTGACTTTCCTGATTCAGGTCCCTAAGTGTCAAAAAGTTTTCCAACTAGGCAAGGATAGAGCCTCAGGCTTAGCGCTCCTGACTCCACCCCTTCCTCCACCTCTCTGCCCTCCCCCGCGCTCTCCAACTCCATCTTCTCTCCTCTTGTCCCGCTCCAGCCCACCATTTTCCCAGCAGGCCCTGCTACAAACCTCTCCTAGCACTGAAATGGGAGCGGCGAGCTTGGAAGCAATTAACCCTTCCCTCACTGCAGGTCTCTTACACTCCCGCCCTTTTTGGGATTTTCCACTCCATCCCATCCTCAGCCACTCACCTGGAAGGGTCCTGTTAGTGATCTCCATTCTCTCTTCTAAATCTCTTTAGCCTCTGTCCTTCCTTCCTTCCCCCCACTTCCTCCGCAGGCTAAGCAGCCGGCTTGCAATGCTTAATCCGCATGGGAAGAGCCGGTGGCGCCCCTGGGATGTTCTTTGGTGTCTTCCGCACTTCTATCCCCACCCAAAGGGACTGGAAGCAATTGCACCCTTGCACTGACCTGTAGGTATCGGAAGATTTTCCTCTTTTTTTTTTCACCTCGATTTGTGTCTCGTCCCAAAGTCCTGCAGAAACACAGGAGTGCTTGGTAAGCATGCCAGTACCTGGATCAAGAGGTCTGTTTTATGATTATAGGCCTTGCTAGCACAAAGTTTTTTTCCAGGTCCCGATCTTGCCCTCCTTTTGTGGCAACCCCGCCCTCCCCTGGATCCCGCGTCTCCCGTCAAGTGAGCAAGGTAGGAGGCAAGTTCTTCACACAGTTATGGTTTCTGTTTCTGTTTCTCTCCCCGCCCCCCAAGTCGGTTAGCTACTCCATTCCCCGTCTGCCCCAATCCCATACCAAACAGCCCAAAATTTCCCGCACAAAATAGTTTAGGTGAAGCCTAGGATAAGGAAAATAGTATAGGCTCCGCCAGTGTTCTGCCCTCTGCCTCCTCCACACCGCAGTCCCCGAGCCAGCGCCCACTGTTAAACTACCTGAAAGGATTCAGACCACTCTTGGTCTCCAGGCGAACGGAGCTGCTACTGAAGAACTGGGCCTGGACTATAAGGACTTCTGCACACGTCGACTGCTGGTCACGTGAAGGTCGCGTCATCAATGAGCTCCAGCCCTCTATTACTCCTCCCATTAACATTACAGCCCGCCCCCTACATTCCCTTCACTTGAGACTGTAAATCTTTTTCCCTATTTGCCAACCAGAGACAATAAAACTGCTATCGTCATCGCATAGTATCTATTCACCTTTCTCGGATTACCAGGGAAGATCAGCCTTTTAGGGTAAATCGACCAATTCTCCTAATTTTGAGATTTATCGCTTTTTCTTCTGCGCCCGATACTCCCTTCCCTTCCCCCAAGACTCTACAGTCCACCATTTCTCCGTGAATCTTATCCATCATTAAAATGGGGGAAGGTGGTAGATGCAGGGGCGGGGGGGGAGATGCTGTATAAGAATGTAAGGGAGAGAGTGTTGAACTTTACCAGCCCTCCTAAGTAGTTTTCACTTGTGTTCGCTTTTAAACATACGTTGTATATTTTTAAATGACATTTCAAAAAGAAGGGATATCTCATAAGCAGTATTTAGCACTGAATGTGGAGAACAAAATAACTTGCTTAAATCCATTTTATGATTTCAAAAAGAATTCTAATGCCTACGACTGAAATGGCAGTGTTTACAGCACACTAACATGTTGGAATTTTAAAATCTTACTAAAATAGCGTCTTTTGAAAACTGGCTCTGTAAAAAAGAGAGCCCGTTTTGCCCTGACAGTTTTATTTAAGTAATCCACAATACACTTCTCTCTCAGGTTGAGCTCAAGTTTAGTTATTATTAGATGCCTGAACTTTTAATTGATGGTTGCTGACACCTTCCACTTGTGTTTCATATAAAGGCTTCAGACAGACCTCCTGTCCCTGTCCTTTGAAGAATCCAGTGTCTTTCTTAGGCAGATGAATCCACAGAAAAGCCTGCTTTCCACTGAGTGAAATTGTTTGGAACTCAAAGACATATGTTTATTGGTAAATAGCTTGTTTTTGATAAACGAATATTTGTCGCGGAAAAGCCCTCATGATAAAGCAGAGAGAGTTCTCTGCATATAACCGTTGATTGTGAGGCTTATTAATCACTGGCGTTTTCTTCATTTATTTGTTCATTCATTTATTCATTTGTTTCTGGCACTCTTGAACTACTCTGATATCATTCAGTGTGCTCCATTAAAATAAGAGCTCTCAACATGCACACTTGTTATGATCAGAAGGCAGAGAGAATATTACTGTAGTAAAACACAGTAGTATTTTAAAGAAGAAACTAATCTCCCTCCAGCCTCAGAGTCCACTAGCACCTGCAGATGTGGTAGAGTCTGGAATGGCATTCTACTTGGTGTCCCCAGCTAGAGGGTCAGCAGAAAGAGGATGGGGTGTGACTTGAGAGTGTCTCTTGGCTAGATGTATCTGTCCACAATAGATTCCACCAGGAAGATCTTCAAAATAAATATCTTCTTTGGCTTACTGTTTAACAATTTATAATTAAGCACAAAGAATTCATTCTACAGTTGAAAGATAAGTTTTATTATTTGAGGAGAGTGTTTAGCATAATTATATTTACTTATCACCAAAAAATGTTTCCACTTTTTGTGATGTTATCATTTTTAAAAGTATATTATTAACAGCAAAACTGAGCTTATTTGTATACAATTTTATGAATTTTAATCAATGCATAGATTTTTTTAAACATCACTACAATCAGAACAGAATTCATTTTCCCCATGAAATACCACTTTCCCTAACTTTTAGCAACCCCTGTTCCCCGTTTACAGTAGCTTTGTCTTTTTCTGGAATATTCTATAAATGTTGTCTTATAGTATGCAACATCTTGAGACTGATTTCTTTCACTCAGCACAATACAGTCATTGTGCAAAATATGAAAGAAAAATAACAGTTCTGAAACAAAGTGGTTTATTCTGAGGCAACAGCAAAGACCTTATCTGGGAAATACAAACATAAGCTAACAGCATGAGCTTCTCAAGGACACAGTTTCCCCTGGAAAGGGATTACTCAACATTTTATGATCTCAAGAAGAAAGTAGGTGGGGTCATTAGGTAGACAAACTACGAAAAGGTGGGGGACTCCCCCACTCAAGGATTCGTGGTTTGCTTTCATCCTAGTCTCAAGATTTAAATGTAGAGAAAAGCTCTGGAGCCCAATACACATTGCAAGATTCTATCCAGCAGTCACACAAAAATACTAAACCAGGTAGAGAATGTGATGCTGATTAGCTGCCAAATTAGACTATTTATCACAATATGCCTTAGTCTTTTAAGACATAATATTTTATCTTTCCATAAGGTCAAGACATAATTAATGAAATTTAAACATTCTTAAAGCTCAAATATAGGCTCTTTAAAGAAACTTCATTTGGTAATTCTCTGAATTTTCCATTCAACTTGTTTTAGATATTGATACTTCATTCTTCTCTGTCCAGGCAGCAGTATTCTGCTACTTGGAGAGTCCACAGTATATCCATTCATCCACTGAAGGGTGTTTGAGTTACTCCAGTGCTGCACTTCTATGAAGAAAGCTGCTCTGAACTGTTCAGGAACTGCCTCCCCACAGCACATTCCTCATTTCCTCCAATCTACCTCACATGTTACCATCAAACTTCATTCTTCCTTGCTTTGGGCTCTCAGTTTCCTGCTCAGAGGCCCTTGAGGGCAGACAAGCTACAAAGTAAATCCTCCACTCTTAATTAGACATTAAACATACATCTTCTGAAGGTTCCCTCAATACTCCTTATCAACCTAGCCAAGCACTTCTCTGCCCCATGGACTGTGTCCCAAGTACATCTCATTTTTCCCTCTCATTGTTTTTAATGGCCATTTTCTTCCTAGAAACTCCCCTCTTTTGTCTCCTAGATCATGGTCCTATACTCTTAGAGCGTCAAAGCTACCTCAGCCGGAAGTGATCTTTTCTTCGTCATTGATGGCCTGATGGCTGTAAGGTCTGTACTCCTTGTGTGACCTTTAGCTAAGGTTGACTTATACCCTTCTCTCTCTCTCTCTCTCTCTCTCTCTCTCTCTCTCTCTCTCTGTGCGTGTGTGTGTGTGTGTGTTGGGTGACTTTCTAATCAGACAAATGTGCATATGTGGATTGGGGATGGGGATCCAATTCTCTTGGTTCTATAGTGATTCTTGTAATACTAACTACAATGTCTCTCACAGATTCCATCATTTCTAAAAGAATCTGTGAGGCCTGGGGGCCTGGTATGTAGCTCAATGATAGAGTTCTTGCCTAGGATGAACTGTGTCCTATAAGTCCTCAGGTTGATCCCCAGCATGAGCAGAGAGAGAGAGAGAGAGAGAGAGAGAGAGAGAGAGAGAGAGAGATTCCAATTGTCTCATAGACAACCCTTTCTGCTCCCAGAAAAATTGCAGTGGAAGTTTTGTTGTCCTCTTCTCTGCCAGTTCTGCTTAAAGGAAGTCACAGCCATAATGCCATTTTAATGATGTTATTGGAGGAGATTAATCTTGTTTTCCTAAATGCCCACAAGAGATAATCCAACCAGTTTACTAGTGCACACCTGACAGAGTTGATCCAGGCCATACTGGGCATCTGAGTTAATTAGTAACCTCTTTTGTGCACAAATCTGCACTGGAGATACTTCTAAATCTTAAAGTCCTCAGGTTATGTGAGGGGAGGAGGAGGGTGTATTTTAGCATTCAGACATATCCAGAAAGCTCTTATGCATGACCATGGTGTCCAGAAGAGCACTTTCCTTTCTGAGTCACTTCTATAGTCTTGCATTCTGGCACTCTATATGCAGCAAGTCCTCTTGAGTATTTCTTCATTGTTGTTAAGTGAATACAATGTGATATTGCAATATGCATGTGCATTGTGTAATGACCCAATCAGGGTAAGTAGCATTCCCATTACTTCAAATATTTATCATTTCTTTTTGGTAAGAATGTTGAAAATCTGCATATATATAATTTATTGTTTATATATATATAATTTATTGTTAACTACAGTCACTTTGGGAAACATTAGAATTTATACCTCCTATCCACTTGTAAGTTTGTATCTGCTGAGCATCCTCTCCATCTTCCTTCCCCCATCATTGCATTTTCAAGGCTCATTCCTTAGAATAACATGAACTGGACATTCCTCTTTATTATTTCCCTAGCATGTTCTGTATGGCTTATAAACATCCCATTTAGCATGGTAAAACCTATCCCAGATCCAAAGCTTTAACTACATAGTCTGTCCTCAAGCAGTCTTCATGTCAAATGATTTTCTCCTTCATAGCGGAGGTATATGCAGTCTTAGCAAAATTCAAGATAGCTCACCCATGTTTTGGTGCAAGAGGTACACACAAATCTTGGGTGACTTCCACTTCAATTGTTTCTACTTTAGCCTCACATTCCTTGACATAATATATTCTGAAAGTGTGGCATGGATATGTTTTGTAAATTTTGTAAACTATTCAGAATAGCCATTAGCCACAAGTTGAATGACCCTAACTTGAAGCACTACATTTTGAATGTATATTTTCAATTTTTATTTATTTTTTTATGTGCATGAGTGTTATAACTGCATGTATGTAAATGCACCCGTGTCATGCAGTACCCGTGGAGGACAGAAGAGGACATGGGATTCCCTAGAACTGGAGTTACAGAAGACTGTTAGCTGCCATGTGGGTTCTGAGATTTGAACATGGCTCTTCTGTAAGAACAACCAGGGCTCATAACCACTGAGCCATCTCTCCAGCCCCTAGATTTTATATTTTCTTCCACTCATCTCTTCATCTTCTGCTCACTGACTAAACACACACCAGAATGCTTCACACTTTGTAAATGATCATAGCAAAGAATGTCCAGTTGTGTAGAGCATAATAGTCTGAAGACCTGTGTCATGGCTGCAGTCATTTCAAATTCCCATGAGCTGGACTACTTAGACTTTAATATGCGCTAGTATGGTCAGGGTCCACAAGGGGATAGGGGGAGGTTGGAGAGATGGCTCAGAATCTAAGACCACTTGTTGGTCTTACCGAGGAACAGGTTCAATTCCTAGTACACACATTAACTCAGAATCCCATCCCTGCAACTCTGGTTTCAAGGGCTCTGACCCCATCTTCTGGCATTTACAGGCACTGAACAAACACATGGTGCTCTGACATACATGCAGGCAAAACACTGTTGCACATACAATAAAAATAAAATTTGTTCACTTTGGCAAGATTCTTGAAATGGCTTTTTTCTAAAGGCTTAATAGTCATGTCTATTATAGAATATCTTGCAGTGTTGAAGGAAGCAGGCCAAATCTGTACTTTGCCTTGGTCCTGGTAACTTTTTCCTGTGGTAGAAGCGCACCGTTATGGAGAGGAGTGCAATTGCTAAGATCAAGTATTAATAAAATTGAGTTTATTTTGCAAAGAAGCTTCACTGACATCTTGCTTCTGTTACTTCCCACACTGTGTTGTGGGGACCTAAAGGCCCCACCTTGCATAGGTCCAAAAGGAAGTTACTGGGGGCGCAGCCTGGCTTGCTTTGAAAGTCTGAAGAATACTTCCGCACTGCTGAGGAGTGCATGATCAGCGCGTGGCCATCCTTAAGATACACCCTGGGCGGGGGGAGGGGGGGGAGTTCCAGGTGCCTTTATAAGCTTTGTAACACCTGCAATAAATGAGTCCCTGCCTGACTAGACTCCCCGTTGCGTCTGAGTGTCCCCTGGTAATGGGGGCGGTGTGGACTGGCGAAGGGCATGCTTACTCATCCCCAATCATCACCTCCCCTGGGGTCGCTGGTTCAAACCCCCCGGCACTGTGTGATTTTTTTTTTTTTGACCCTGTATGTACTCATCTTAACTTCTTCAGCCTGTTTGCTTGGCTTAATACTTCGTATCCCTCACTAATTGAGGAGTGCCTAAAATATATTTGATTCAACTTTGTAATTGCTCCAAATGTGAAATTTAAAAAATGATGCCATGCATATATATACATATATATGTATATATGTATATATATATGAATTCAACTAGTTTATTAAATAGTTCCGTTTTTCTGATAATAAAGAGAAAGATTTTGCTCTTTCTCATAATTAATGTTAACTGGAATGACTTTGGTTTTTCTAGTAATCAATGTCAGTGATGATCTGTCAAATTTCCCCTTTCCTACTGAATGATGAATACTTTAGTTACATCTTATTTTGTTTCCCCAGTCACTTTCACTCAGTGACTTACTTTAATATATATACTAAAATTTTTGTTCGTCAATTTCACTTTTAAATAGCAGTACAAAGAGTTTCCATATGCCCACACCACACCTAGCTTTTATTAAAACTAAGAAGTTAAAACTTGTGCAATTCTGTTAAATAAGACTATTTGGCTCTCCCTAATCTCTCACTAATCTCCTTTTTTTTGCTTCAAGGTTCAAACTTGGATACAACGTTGTATTTATTTTCCAAGTCTGTTCAGTCATCTCTACTCCCAGTCTGTCTTTGGTTTTCATGACCTTGGCATATTTTAAGACAGAACTATTTTGTAGAATATGCCAGCATTTAGATTCTATAGTATTTTTTCTTCCTTTCTTTTTCTTTCTTTTTTTTTTCTTTTTGAAGCAGTGTCTCCCTTGTAGCCCCAGCTGTCCTGGAACTCACTATGTAGACCAGGCTGGCCTTGAACTCACAGAGATCCACCTGCCTCTGCCTCCCAAGTGCTGGGACTACAGGTGTGCACCACCACGCCCAGCTCAATAGTATTTTTCTTAAGGATAATGAAGTGGCCGAGTGGTTAAGGCAATAAATTCTATAGTATTTTTCTCAAGATTACATTGGCGTTTTTGATTTGGAAGAAGAGCATCAAAGAGGTGAAGTATGATTTCCACCAAAAGGTTGTGATATGATATAGACCCAGCATCAACTTAGATTAGGTTTAGGTTATCTGATGGATTTTTGTCTCTTATAAAGTTACTGTTTATTTCCTTTTCATATTGCTTTTTAAGCAAATTTCTTTTTTTGTACACTACAGTGAAGATTGAACCTAAGGCCACCATATGCTAGACAAGTGCTTGTACACTGAGCTACATATCTGGAACAAAGCGAGTTGTCTGTGTGTCTATCCCACCCTGGAAGGAAGAGTATTATTAATTTGTAAATATATGTTTAAAAACAACCACAGTAGTCACTAAGTATTTAGGGACAGATAATTTGAAGCTACACAAATATCCTGTAGAGTTTGCCTGCAACAATTACTGCTATGGTATCTTGAAGATAGAATTTTAATATCCCGCATGGTTCTATATTTAACATTGCAAATTAGTCTGCAAGGAAGATTTTTCCTTTCTCCCTTACTCCATTTATTTATTAAGGGAGTTATTTGTTTTTATCAGTATGATTCAAGGACTTTTAACTCTGGGCTATATTCCAATAGTGTGATTGTGGTTATTGTTGTTGTTGCTCAAATTGTTCCAGCCTTGCTTATTGAAAGCCCTGACATGTTGACATACTCCCTTTTTCTGCTTCCTTCTTTCTAGTGCTGCTAGTTGTTTCAGGTTAATCTCGTATTTTCTTTATTCCAATCCTGTTATCAGCTATTTCTCCAGCGAATCTGGGTTACTTTTATTTTTAAAATTATTTTATTTTACTTTATGTATTTATTTACTTATTTATTTATTGTGTGTGTGTGCGTGTGTGTGCGTGTGTGTGTGTGTGTGTGTGTGTGTGTGTGTGTGCCATGACTCCCTTGTGGAAATCAGAGGACAACTTCTCACTGCACCATATGGGTTCTGGGGATTGAACTCAGGCTTCCAGGCTTGGCAGCAGGCACCTTTACCTACTGAGCCATCTTGCTCACTCCTTTGTTACTTTCATTGAACAATAACATTGACTGCTTAAGATCTGTGTCCTGGAGGCTGGAGAGATGACTCAATGTTTAAGAGCACTGACTACACTTGCAGAGGACCTGGGTTCAATTCTTTCGTTTGCAGAACCTAGATTTAAAAAATAA